GAAAACCTCATTCACTGAAAAACAATAATGCCTCTGTGTTATAGATTCTGAAAGGCCTTCCATCAAAAAATACTGTAAGTGGAAAGACAGTAGTGGCTAAAGGAAGCGAGGTAGGAAGGCAAAATAAGTTTAGCGCCACCGCAGCACGGGAGTCAGAATTACGTTCAGAACCAAATGGATAAAAATAGACCGGAGGAAAAAAACAACATGGATCGATACTCTTGCGGACGTGTCGATGCATCGGATCGTCAGCTGATCAATGCATAGATGTAAAATGATTATTATTTATACCCCTAATATCTATTATTAGTTTTACGACTGACAGATTGTAGAACAGAGGTCACGGATTAGCGAACCGCAGCCCCGATCCGGACCCACCTGCTGACTAAGTCCACTGCTCTCATTAAGCCATAAAAAGAAAGAAAAAAATAACAAAAGGTCAGTTTATGTATTTAATAAAATATGTGAATCAGGAAATTGTCTCTATACTAAACTGAATGATTGTTGTTCTCTATACTTCAAAAAACACTTTAGATTTTAAAATGGAATTTTTTACCTTTTTTTTCTTTAATAATTTTTTATTAAAAAATTCATGTATAACATGGATGCATAAAAACATCATTTTATTTCAGTGTTAAATTCTGTTTAAAGTAACTGTTTATAATAAAAAATGAGTTGTTGTTGATTTCATTTATTCGGACCCCAATGATTTTTTATTGGTTAATTGGTAGAGAAACATTTCAAAGGGCCAAACTATGGAGTACATTTTGTTCCATTACTGTTTAAAGCAAAGAATATGCTTTGTTTATTAATATGTGAAAAATCATATTTCGTAAATTTTTATTTGCAAAAAAAAAAGCTATCCAGAAATGAAACTTTGAAAAACATCTAAAATATATTTGGGGTATAACTTTGCTGTTTTCTAATTTTTAAAAAAGGGTTATTTACCTTTCCCAATGTTATTTTTTCAACTTATCAGATTTTACATTTTCAAAATGTATTATTTTATTTTTCATAGATTTTATATTTTGGGCTATATTTTTTCTATTTATTTTGTCAAAGTGAATCTAATGAATTTCATTTTTTAAATTTATTTCACAGGTATTCTTTTCACTTCATGCCAAGTTCTAATGTTGAACATTAACCAATAAAAAGGATTTCTCTAATATCCCGCAGAACAATAGAAATACGTCTTTGCTTCTCACTCCAGAGGAAAGCTCCCCCCCTGAATGGAAGAGATCTTGATCTTTAAAATGCAATGCATTATGAAAAATTGTCATCCAAAAAAGATTAAAAAACAATATTGTAATATATAGGCATGCATCTAAATTTTTTGATACAAATAAGCTGATAGAAATTAAAATTTCTGTCTGCTTCTGTTCATAGTTTCTAAAACTTATTGGTTATTAATATATGGTTCAGTTGTTCTCGTACCTGATAACTTTTGTTTTTTTGTTTTAGTAATATCAGTTAAGCCTCCTCTAACATCCCATACTACAAAATGAGTTATAAAAGTAGCTATGATTCATTCAGATATCGTATTCGGTCAATATTGGTATCTGTCAATACTCAAAGCTACAATATTGATGTCGTATCAGAAATGAAAAAGTAGTATCTGGACATTCCTAATTAATATAGCTCCAATTCTCAACAAGTCACCTGAACGTATTTTACACAGATAATTGAACCAGATACAAGCGGCTGAAATGAGTTTTCTCCGTAGTGTGTCTGGGTTCTCCCTTAGAGATATGTGGAGGAGCTCAGTCATCCGGGGAGGACTCAGAGTAGAGCTGCTGCTCCTCCACATTGAGAGGAGCCAGTTGAGGTGGCTCGGGCATCTGATTAGGATGCCTCCTGGACGCCTCCCTGGTGAGGTGTTACAGGCACGTCCCACCAGGAGGAGGCCCAGGGGGAGACCCAGGACACGCTGGAGGGACTATGTTCCTCGGCTGGCCTTGGTAGCGTCTTGGGATTCCCCCGGAGCAGCTACCCCAAGTGGTTGGGGAGAGGGACGTCTGGGCCTCCCTACTGAAGCTGCTACCCCCAGAAGTGGAAGAAGATGGATGGAATTCAATCAGATCATACAGATTGCTAAAAAGTTCAATCTACGAGAACCAAGCTGATTCCATCCAGTCATTGACTTTGCATGATTTGCTCCTCCTGGATGGGCATGTAGAGCCAATAGACATTTGCTCTCAGTGTGGTTGACTTTGCAGCAATCCCTCATGAGAATACATGCAGCAACAGTGGAAAGGGAAAAATTGTGTTACGAAGAAGAAACCACTAGCAGAACCAGGCTCAGTGTGAGTGGCCTTCTGCCTAGGGCTGGGTATTGTTCAAAAATTTTCGGTTCCGGTACCAATACCGATACCTTCACTTCGATACCGGTTCCTGAACGATACTTTTTTCGATACCAGTTTTATAATATCAATTCGAAAAAAAAGAAAATTACACAACATAAAAAAGTACAAATCTTGAGTTTTATTTTAAGCTCTGTTTTTCCATTTACATTTTTCCTCTTACATAAAAAAAAAAATTCAGTGTCTAATATTCACTGTTACATTGTGAGGACTTTTTACTTAGCAGTTTTCCTTTAGAAAAATTACCATGTCTGACAAACAAGCCCGTTGAATGGGATCCTACTGACAGCGCACCGCTGGTATGTGGGGGTCTGAGCGGCTCCGTCAGAAATATTGGAAGGCAGGATGAACTGACTGCACTGATTACATTTTCAGGTGGATTTTCCCACTTAAAAACATAATAAAACTACTTTATTCCCACTGATCACAGCAAATATAGCTGCAAGGCAGAGAAAAATAGAGTAGCTCCGCTCAACGCGCGTCAGACACACTTTTGCACCGCGCAGCCAGAGCTGCAAAGCTGCTTCAGCCGCGCGTCAGAAGCTGGTACAAGCAGCAAAAAGGAAGCAGCAGACGTGATTTTGCTGCTCCTGCGGCGTCCAGTTTGAAAGCAGCATTCCCCAAGAGTGTCTCGCATTATTCACTCCGCTCTGGCTTTGCTCCGCCCACGGGCTGCTGAGAGGAGGATGGTCGCGCTGGCTGCGGTCCGCTTTTCTTGCAGTCAAACACCGAGCGACTTTCTGCTCTTAAATTGTTTCTGTGCACGATGTATTGCATTGCGCACTATTGGCATCAGTCTTAATAAAGTGAAGCCGCACTTTTGACCTGGGGGGCATTTTAAAGGGGTTCCGCGACGCTCACAACCAGGTCACATGAACCCTGGCTGTAGGCGTGACCACCTGTGTATTTTTCCTGGATGACGCAATCACGTTAAGTGTTACAGCCATCACCGAAACTTGGTACCGAAAGAAGAGGCATGTTTCGATACTCTGTAGAACCGAAGCATTTCGGTCGGTACCATAAAAGAACCGAAGTTCGGTACCCAGCCCTACTTCTGCCTAATCCGACTGGAGGTTCTAGGAAACAAAATCAGACATACAAAAGGAGGCACAGTTGTCTTGTCTTGATGCCAAAAAAAGACCCAACAGATTATGCTTTCACAAGTGGAGCAGTACGGCTGTCGCCATAGTGTTCCGCCTGATTTATGCATAAAAATAGCTTTATTATGATTATGCAGGGAGTATTACAGATTATACGGACACTGCAATATAAGTAAATTAGGAAAGGATAAACAGGAAAAAGAAGAAAAGATTAAAGAAAGAGGAGATAAAAGAGATACAATGATAAAACTTCTGTCTGCTTCATCACCTGCAGAGGGATATAAAAAGAACAGCACAACCAATGGATATAGTATAACACATACAATAAAGTAACACCTTGATACCATTGCTGAAGTATAACTGGTATTATTTAATCTGACATGTACAAAGTGGTATCTGAAGATAGGAATATGGGCTTTCCATATGGAAATGATTCTTTAAGTACCTGGAAATAAGCACCTGTTGTTTGAGAGAGTGCAGTTGTGCAAGTAAAGTTTATCCAAAGAAAAATTATAAAATACTTTCTATGTTAGAGAATATAACAGTAAACTAGCTTCGCAAGTGTCTCTGTTTAGGTAAGAAACAGTTAAGCAGATGAACTGAGTGAGTTTTCTGGTAGAAAGTGGTTAAATCTGAGCCCATAACTACGGTATGTCAATGAAACAATACAAAGCACTGAAAAAAAGACCTAACTCTATAATCCATCATTAAAGGTGTTGATAGTAGCAGTCAGCTGATATTTGACTCCAGGAGGGACAGCCAACCAGGATCAGACCAGATGGAGCTACTGGAAATACTACAAAAAGAAAAAACTGAGAGAACATCAAGTTAAAAAGTGAACAAATAAATACTGCAAAGAGAATAGAGATAGAATGAAACAGAATGAAAAGTGGTACTTATGTCCTCCAGCAGCCTAAGCCTACAGCAGCATAACTATAGTGATAGTTTAGGAAACCTGAGACATTAGTTACAAAAATACATTTTAGAAATTCTAGAAACCACTAGTAAACCTGATTGACAGCAAAGTGCTCTGTAACATTAGTGCAATCAGATTGTGATATAAAATGGAGCTTGGTTATTTATGGCTTTATATGTGAGAAGGAGGATTTAAAGTTCTATTCTAGATTTAGTAGAAAACAGAAATATAGACGCTATAGAAGAGTAGCAGGAAGGCTGTTGTTTTTAAAGAAATGCCAAAAGGATTTTCTCCTCAAATGTGCGCCATTATCAGAAAAAAACCTAACTGACAAAAAAAACTCCACGGATGATTTTCTTAATTTTAAGTCAATATTGGGGTAAAATGTTTTTGAAAGATGGAGGTTGTAAAATATTGTGACACTCACAGATGGATAAAGATATTACAGACCTGCTCTCACAGCATCTGCTCACTAGTGATTTTGTTCTCCTCATTATGTGCGTTATCCTCCAGAGGCTGGCGCAGTTCAACAATACAGGGCTGTCACTGCTGTTGTTGTTTTGTCTAGCAGCCCCTCACCTGCATGCTCAACTAGTCACTCTGTGTTTCTGCTTTCCTATTAAGAGAGGAGAGGCATCATGGGGAAACACAACAGTAAGCTGGCCCCCGAGGTCCTGGACGACCTGACCAAGAGCACAGAGTTCAACGAGACAGAGCTCAAGCAGTGGTACAAAGGTTTCCTCAAAGACTGTCCCTCTGGCATTCTCAACCTGGAGGAGTTTCAGCAGCTCTACGTTAAGGTGAGACATTGGAGAAAACACCAGTCGAAGGAGAGAAGACGTGTTAATTGATTCTCCATTAACAGGGAAGGTTTAGTTGAACTCTAATGGAGGGAATTCTTAGTGCTAATTTATTTGTCCTTTTTTATATCTAATGTAAATTAACACTAACATTATAGCAATGCATAAATATATATATATATATATATATATATATTTTTTTTTTTTTTTAATTAGCACAGACTTCCTGTGGTACTAAAATTAAACAATATGTAGATCTGTTTTTTACACATAAAGGTGTATCAGCGTACCAGTCAAAATCTATTATGCTTTCTAGTAGGGGTGTAAATCACATCCATCATGGCGATTCGATTCAGTATAGATTTCTTGACCCAACGATTCGATTATTTTCGATACTCAAGAATACACCATGATACGATTCGATTTGATTAATCTGTAATTTTTTTATTTTTTTTATTTATTTTTTTTTACACCTTACAGGCTAAACAAAGTTTCAAGTTTGAAATAAATCAATGAAAGCTGTAATATCGTTATGCATTTTGTTTTAGAAACAACAGCAAATAACAGAAGTAGAAAGGTGGCATTAAAAAATACTGCAAAAATACTGCAGAAAATCAGTGCAATGAGTCCAATGCAATACCTCTGCTCCAGATGTCCCCGCCCCCTCCACAGACGCTCCGCTGCTGCTCTCCCAAATTGTAGCTGACCGCAAACAGTGCAGCAGACAGCAGGCCGGCTTGTTTTGTTTTTAATGACCGAAATTGCGGAAAACAACTCGTGAAGTTTGACCTGCTAGAAAAGCGAGGTGCACGAGAACGCTGGGAGCCTTTTTCCACCTGGATCTCCGCTCTTTTTGGCCCTCATGTCCCTCCGTCGTCGGACTAAACTCGCCCCCACTTCCTCGCCGCCTCGGCCGTATCTAGACCCACAGCGTGTAGCACAGACCACGCTTCAATATTGGGCATAATTTAAAAATGTCTGTGTCAAGCTTAGTATAACACACTGCTGTAAGAGTATAACCAGGAAGCGAGGTAGGAGGGCAAAAATAGATTTAGCGCCACCGCAGCACTGGAGGGAGAATTACGCCCAGGAGCAAATGGATAAAAATAGACCGGAGGAAAAAAAAAACATGAATCGATACTCTTGCGGACGTATCGATGCATCGGATCGTCAGCTTCTGGATCGATGCATCGATACAAAACGATTATTATTTACACCCCTACTTTCTAGATAAGTGGAGATCTAACCTCCAGCTTCATCTAATAATGATAATTGAAATGTATTGATCTCATATTGGAGAAATGTATCTCTTTATTTAACCCATCCCCTTTGGGAGCAGTGTCCTGCCATTGTGCAACGCCCAGGGAGCAGTGTGGGGTTAAGGTTCCTTGCTCAGCGATCCAGAGTGGCAGTCTGTGGGAGTGGGGATCAAACTCAGAAACTCTGGATTCCAAGCGCAATGACCTAACCACTTTGATTTGTTTGGATAAAAAAATACAATGCTTGCCAATATGACAATGTCACAATTTATTTATCCGCTTAATTCTCAAATCTCCAATCGATATGATGTGATAATATGAGGTTAGAATTCTGCCAAAAGGGGACACACCTCATGATTACTGATACGGGCAGGTTTATGTACAACACACACATTAACTGCTCTCCAGGCACGTTTTGAACGTTTTATGTCTGCAGATTAAATACAATATATCACAACTATGAGTCCATGCCCCTTCTCTGTTCTATTTTGTTTTTTATGCTCCTATAGATTCTCTCTTACCTGAGAGTGGACCTGTTTCTGTGCACTATTGTCAACTTTTATAACTTTGAGGGTGGAACCAACTGCAACTGCCGATGATTGGCTGCTTTTTAGCAAATCCCGTCTCTTGAGATAGTATGTTTTCTTCCTGTTGTGGCTAGCAATGTCAGCAAAGCATCTTCAGGGTATTAGCTGTTTTCTTAAAGAGTCAAATATGGATTAAGCGAAGTCGTCATTAAAAGTTACTTTGATAGAGCCATGAATGTGTTTTGACAGCAGAAGCAAAAAGCTCTAAAAGTGTTAAATTTGGAACTTTGAATGAGCTAAGCTGATGTTAGCTTCACTATTTTGATTGAGGAAAGTTACCAGCTTTTGCTGTGATAACAGCTGTAAGTCACGTGGGTTATGTCTCTATCAGTTCTGCACATCAAGATGGACATTTTTGCTTTATAAATCTCTGTCCCAGTCTCAGGTCTTTTGCAGACTCCAACAGGTTTGCTTTCAGAATGGTCCTGTATTTGTCTCCATCCATCTTCCCATCTATTTTAACCATATCCCCTGTCCCCACTGAAAAAAAGCAGGCCCAAACCATGATGCTGCCACCATCATTTTTGACAGTGGGGAAAGTGTGTTCAGGGTGTTGAGCTGTGTTGCTTTTTTACCAAATACAACGTTTTGCAGTGTCGCCAAAAAGCTTGATTTTGGTTTCATCTGACCAGAGCACCTTCTTCCACATATTTGCTGTGTCTCCAAGGTGGCTTGTGGCAAACTTTAAACAATACTTTTTATGGATATCTTTAAGAAATGGCTTTCTTCCATAAAGGCTAGGTTTGTGCAGTATATTACTGATTATTGTTCTATGGGCAGAGTCTCCCCCCTCAGCTGTAGATCTCTGCAGTTCACCCAGAGGGATCATGGGCCTCTTGGCTGCATCTCTGATCAGTCTTCACATCTTTGAGCCGAAAATTTAGAGGGACGGCTTCGTAGCGTTTCAGTGTCTGATACTGCTTCAATTTGTGTCCAAATCCAACTTTAAATTTCTCCATAACAGTATATGGGACCTGCCTGGTGTGTTCCTTTGTTCTTTATGATGCTTTCTGCACTTTAAACAGACCTCTGAGACTATCACAGAGCAGGTGCATTTCAGAGATGAGGGATTTAGAGTCAACAAATCATTTCTAAGTCATGTTTTTGTTCTACCCAGCCACTGAACAAGGTGATTCCAATCTGGATTATCTATGCAAATGGAACTCACCAGGTTCAGTGCTTGGGTAGAACAAAAACATGACATAGAAATGACTTGTTGACTCCAGATCCCCCGTCTCTGGTGCATTTATGCGAAGAATTGATTACACGCAGGTGGATTGTATTTATCATCATCATTCATTTAGGTCAACATTGGATCATTCATATCCTCATTGGATTGGAGAGAGTTTAATGCATTGAAAGTTAATGGGCCAATTTATTTTGCACACAGCAGTTTTCTTCATCACCCAGTTCTTTATTTCTGAAAAAGTTTAAAATATCCCAAAATTTTGTTCCACTTCATTATTGTGCCCCACCTGTTGTGGATTCTTCACCTAAAAATTACAATTTAATATCTTTACGTCTGAAGCCTGAAATGTGACAAAATATTGAAAAGTTCAAGGGGGCCGAATGCTTTTGCAAAGCTCTATATTTTGGGGGGCTCGTGGTATTTAAGGTCCTATATTATGAAACATTCATATTGTAAACATTTTAAAGCAGTCATATGTGTCCTGAAGCCTTTGTATAAGTTTCAGCACTGAAAAAAACCTCCCCCCCCTCTCAGTGCATTTCAGCACCTCTTAGCAAACAGCTCTGTTTTAAAAATCATGCCCTTTATGATATCATAAGGGGAAATAAGCGGTCCAGGGCGGTCTGTAGCAGCCCATGGGTTAAGCGCTAGGAAGATGGGGGCGTGGAAACCCAAAACAGCTCATCTAGAGGAGGGGTGTATGAGAAAGCTTTTGTTACATGCTTTCTGTGTAATCTTAGAGGAATTTCCCTGCCCAAATGGCAAAAATATGCTCTGGGGGCCTCATTGTTAATATTTTTTTATTTATTTTCAAAGTGTAGAGTAATATGGGATCTTTAAATCTGCATGCATAAAGTTATCAAAATGCTTATTTAAGTGCCTACTATTTGAAATAAAGCTACTGGTATGAAAATGTATTTTGCAGGTTCACTTTTGGCAGAATTCTGACTTCATATAATAATGTCTGCCCATCTAATAAATCATCTAATACAATTAATTTACACTTATATGCACAAAAGAAAAAAACCAAATGTGATTTTTATAACCCCTAGAAGGCATTAAACATAATTTAGTCTAAATCAGTTGATCTATGAATAAACTGAATTGTATTGAATTATACAACAGACAATGGATGGATGGATGGATGGATGGATGGTTAATATCGTTCCATTGAAATCATATTTTCTGATTGAGATCAAAGTAAGCAGCTGCTCTAAGCCTATTCACACAGTGCAAGCAGACTTCTTTAAGGCATGGACTTAACATCAAGCTCCCATATTGAACAAACACGCAGTGAAAACAGAGATTTTTAACAGGAAGTGGTTTGAAAAAACTGAAACAAAAAATAAAGGAAAACACAAAAACATTGGTCCTAAGATACTTTCTACAGGAAAAGAAAACAAGGAGTAAATATAGAAACTTATTTTGGGATTCTAAGTATTTCTTTTTGTCTAAATGCACCTCCCTGTTTTATATGTTCTACTGTGCATATTTTATTTTAGCCTTGATATTTGGCTGGAGCTCTGAATGTGTTTTAAAAGTACACCATTTAAACCAACCCACCCCTAAAGTGTCAAGATTGGGTTGTGGTTTGTTGGCCCAAATGCAGAGGCAGGGAGGCAGAGGTGATTTTCTTATGGGTTTAATGAAAGGTTAACTGAACACAGAGGCAGGAAATCCAAAAATCCAAACATGAAAATTAAGTCCAAACAAACCGGAAACCAGGAATCCAAAATCCAAAAAATCTAAACATGAAAACTAAGTCAAGACAAACCAGAAACCATGGAGACATCAGGGGGGTTACTATCACGAGGAGGACGGCTCAGAGAGACGGAGTTGGAGGAAGTTAGACGAGGAACCAGCACTGAAGAACTGAACAGAGAGAGTATTTAAGGGAGACTGAAACAAAGAGAGGACTAACGAGCAGATTGGGAGCAGGTGTGAAAGGAGCAGAAACAAGGAAAGGAGCAAGGGAAAAAGGAGAACACAAGTGGGCAGCAGAGGGCAACAAATAAAAACCTGAGAACTAAAAATAACCAGAAAACACAACAAAATAAGAATGAAACCACTAAAACTAGGAAATATAGGGGCAAAGAAAAACTGAATACTCAAAAGAAAAAATATAACAAAACCAGAACTCTGACATAAGGTAATAACAATGTTTCACTCAATAAGCATGCAAGCACAAAGAAATATGCCAGCCTTTGTCGACATTTTTGATTAAAACAACCACCGCTATCAGTGTCCCCTTGAATATGAACAACTCCCAATGAAAATACTAAAAAAGAAGCTTAGGATGATAATAAAGTTTTGCCTTTGATATCTGCAATAATTAATAAAATATATTAATAAAATAGACATAGAGCTGAACACAGAGGCTTTGAGTAATGAGTACTTTCAATGTAAAAAGGAAAACTACAGAAGCACATAGAGAAAATGTCTGCAGCAGCTTCTTTCACGGTAAAAAAAACAATTCAATATTGGAAGCAAGACAATAGAGGAATCCACTCCAAGACACCCCACAATGTAATAGCACCTAATTTCTCCAGACATCTCTCTTCCCCTTTCACCTCCGTCAGTCTTTATTTTCATCAATTTCTCTGAAGGGGTCAAAGTTTTAATACTTTAGATAGAGACTCATCCCAACTCCAGCTGAAATATCCCTCTTCCTCTTTTTTCCTTCCTCATCCTTTATGTTTCCATATGTGCATTTATAAAGATAAACCAGTTTCAGGAACAGTTGGGTGGGAATACTTTCTATTTGAAGGAAAAGCAAAACATATGGAGGGTTAAGGTCACCAATATCATTTTTAATAGCTTGGCGAGGGAAAGATAGACTTTGGTGAGACCTAAACCACAGCTAGATAAAACAAATGTACAAAAACAAAGCATTTCCAAAACCTGTAAATGTCAAACTTCTACATGCTCTTCCTCTTTGACCTCTGTCAATACTGATTTTTATCAATTGCTTTGAAAACCAAAGCTTTGCTATCTTGAGAGACAGCCAACACCACCCCACACCTTCTTCATCATTGTATTTTTGAGGTTTTTACTCTGAATAAATAAAACAATGCTGGGTCGGGTACTTTTGATGGCAAGTAACAGTGCATGAAAAATGTATGGGATTGTAGTCAAGTCAAGTCAGCTTTTATTGTCACTTTCTTCATATGTACAAGACATACTGGTACAAGGGAAATGAAATTACGTTTACTCTCTCGAATATACAAATATACAAGAAATATACAAGACTGACATTTAAAAACTGACATAAAGTGCGAGACATTACATGTAACAGTGATAAGATAAATATAAATATGAGGTATAGACATTACAATAAAAGCAATAAAACAGCAGCAATAGTTTATTCCAGGCTGAGGTAGTGCAGGTAACGTGCAGTCTCTGGTACAGTGTATGTGTGTGTGTGTGTGTGTGTGAGAGGTGTGTGTGTGTAGTAGTCTCTGTATAGAAACACTGGACCAGGCGTACCTTTTATAGGAAAGGTAAACAAAGTGACTGCATGGTAACCTGGTTGAAAAGGGCTCTATGCAGAAACATTTGGTCTGCAGTACTTTCAATCTGAAAGAAAAACAAATAGCATTGAGGGAAGGACTGGTTGTAAGAAGTCCTTTAACACTCAGTTGAGGAAACACTCAGTAGAGGCAAAGTAGTACTTTCAATGGCAAAGAAAAGACAAGAGCAAACAGAGGTAACTGATTGTAAAAGTTCATTTTGAGAAACACTGGAGTAGGAATACTGTCTATTCAAAAGAAAAACAAGTAGCATGGACCGGGGGATTGGTTGTAACTAGTGTTGCGCCGATGCCATTTTTTGGCCCCGATACCGATACCCGATACCTGGCTGTGCAGTATCGGCCGATACCATAATAATGTAAAATAATTGCCATCATGGCTTTGTCAAGCTGCTGCCTTCCTTTGTGAAGCAGGAAAAAATCTAATAAAAAGTGAATCCAGTAGAACTTTTTATTGCCTACCTGGAATGGGTGACGATAGTTGAAGAAATGTATGGCTCTCAAAATGGTATCGGTGCCCTATTTGTCGGTACTCGCCGATACAGATACCATCATTTTAGGGCAGTATCAGGGCCCTGTCCGATACTGGTATCGGTATTGGTGCAACACTAGTTGTACCACTTGAAGAGTAGTACCTTAGGCTACGTTCACACTGCAGGCCTTGATGCTCAATACTGATTTTTTGTGAAATCTGATTTTTTTTTTTGCTTTGCTGTCCATATTTCCAAATATATGCGACGTGTATGTGATATCCTGTGTTAACTGCAGTCATACAAAGCAAGTGTCCCGCATGCGCAGTATAGGTAGAAACGACGTCACAAGCCAGTGTGCTCTTTTTTCCCGGACATAAACATGGATGGTAGTGTCGGAGCGCATCAAGCGGTCTTTTCCAACTATAAAAACTAATTCTTTTCAATATGTTTAAACATAAATACTGCTCTCTGCATCATCATCTGCCATGGTTGTTGTTTTTCTTGCTGCTTCTGCGTAGCAAGTCGCAGAATAGCGACCTTTGTCGGGTATTAATGACGTTAAGGCTGGACGAATCCGACCTGGCCGTTCAGACACAGGTCGCATTTGAAAAGATCAGATTCGTATTGGATTCAGGACCACATAGCCAAGTGGCCTGGGTCGGATTGGAAAAAATCGGATCTGTGTTGTTCAGATTGTCATGAAAAAATCAGATCCAGGTCGCATAATGGGCCAAAAAAATCGGATTTGGGTCACTTCAAGCTGCAGTGTAAACATAGCTTTATTTGTGAAAGAAAGGCCAAGACAAGACTGAGGTAACTACTTTTAAAAGGTTATTTTAAGAAACTGTGGACTAGAAGTACATTCTTTGAGACAAAAAGCGCAGCCAGAAACACTCCTGTCCTGTCTGATCCTCAGACAGATCCAAAGACAGAAAAACTGTGAGAACTTTCCTTTTTTCATGTTCTAACCATAGAAGTTGTTTAAAGACTAATTTTTAAGATTTGCTCTCTGCTCATCTTTTGTTTCATCCTCCAGTTTTTCCCGTACGGTGACGCCTCTAAATTTGCCCAGCACGCCTTCCGCACGTTTGACAAGAATGGTGACGGGACCATCGACTTCAGGGAGTTCATTTGCGCTCTGTCCATCACCTCCAGGGGGAGCTTTGAGCAGAAACTCAACTGGGCCTTCAACATGTATGATCTGGATGGAGATGGAAAGATCACACGCATGGAGATGCTGGAGATCATCGAGGTGTGTGGTTGCGGTCCACGTGAAAGGAAAAAAGTCTGAATATTTGCTTTAGGGTTGCTATTAAAACGTCTCTCCATTTTGCTGTGCTGCAGGCCATCTACAAGATGGTCGGCACGGTGATCATGATGCGCATGAACGAGGACGGGCTGACCCCTCAGCAGCGCGTGGACAAGATCTTCTCCAAGATGGACAAGGACCACAATGACGAGATAACCTTGGAGGAGTTTAAAGAGGCGGCCAAGTCCGACCCTTCCATCGTCTTACTGCTGCAGTGTGATATGCAGAAGTAGAAGGGGGAGGGAGGGGCAGGAAAAACAGGGAGGGGTGGGGGTAAGAGGTGAACTGAAGCTAGGGAAGGGAGGAGGCTGAGAAAAGAAGGGAGGGAGCGGTTCTACAGGAGGAGGAGGCATCGCTAACGGGAACCGTCCAGATCTCAGATAGCTGACATTCCGTTTTATCCTACCGTGCTTTAGATAGGAGGAGGACAAATTCAGTCAGATGGGCTGTGAAAAGCGGGATTCCCTCCTGCATTCGTTGCAGAGCAGTATGGTGTTACTCGTGCTTTCACGCCGCGTCGGATGTGAGATCACGAGGCTGCGGGATGAAAGCAGTGTGAAGCTCAGCCGTCTAAATGAGAAAACAATTTCATATTCATTGACTAGACGTTTCATTTGTTCCATATCCTCAGTAAATTTGATGCAAAAAAGGGAAGATAAAAGGAATTTAAAAAAACTATAGCTCAAGTTTTTAATCCAGAGTTTAAGGCAATACACATGCATTGAAGGAAGAGCGTTTTTGTTGTTGTTGCAGATTATGCCTCAGTGTCCACCAGCTAAACAAGCAGGCAGCTGATGGAAAGTGTCACTGCAGCAGCATGGCGAGGCATACTGATGTGCTCAGTCACTTCTAGCTGCTTTGAAACCAAAATAATCCATATTTTGTCAGTGATTTGTATTCTAGTTAATGCCATCTACTTGTTACGCAACCAAAGCTTTTGATCAGCAGGTTGTATTCAATGAAATGTACATTGAATAACAGGAACCAGAGCCTTTCATCAGCAAACTGCTTGTTTGAGCAGTAAAAGGAGGCACTTAACCATCCTAGAGCGGCGATAATCACGGCGGTAATTGTAGATCTTATGACAGAATGGTATTTCTGAGAAAGGCCAAACCCGCCTCCGCGATTCGCCGTTGTTTCACATTAAATAGTCGTCTCTTCTCTTCCTGTCCTGCTGCTGGCCCCGTTTTTTTTAGTTTCCTTCCTCTCTAAATGTCAGAGAGGAAGCACTTTGATAATAGGTAAAGAGAAAGGAACTTTGCTCAGATCTGCAATCGTTGAGAAAGGGAGCAAAAGGTTGCAGAGGTGGGTCAGGCTGTGTGTGTCAGCCGAACGGTTGAAGGGATCAGGACGGTGTAGCTGCATGCTAACATTTAATATTTAGCGGTGCGTAAAAACGGCCCTTAGGGATGTCCCAGTCAGCTTCATGTTTGATACTTAATAAGTCATCTAAGGAGAGATAAATCAGCTTTTACAAACAATCTTTGCTAATGAAAAAAAATAAAATGTGATTCACTTTGAAACAACACAAAAAGACACCACTTGATTGTCTTTTGATATGACTTGTTGATCATTCGACCTACAGCAGATTTTAATGATTGTGTGACTAATAGAAAACGTTCTTAAGCTCCATCACTGTCAAACTCTCCTGGTAGGTCTTCCTAACATGACTCAGCAGTCACCAAAGCTCTTCCTCTCTGAAAATCAATGAAAATATTTCAACTCTTTTGATGAACAAAATAATAGTATAGTAAACCGTTGCTTCTGGGAAACATTCAAACCAATCTTTTCCTGCTCTTTTACCCAGATGTTTTGTAATATTTACTGATAAATCAAATTCATAGTAAGGAAGCACTTTATATTGATATTAAAACTTAATATTTGTTGATTACAACTATTAAATGCCAAAAGCTATTGATGAAAATGTTCCGATTTACCCTGTTCTCTGTCAGAGTTATTATAACACAATGATCCGAGTAGTTGCTGTTTTATCTCCTTTCCTTTATGAGAAAAAAAGTCCTGCTTTGTATTGTTTGTATTTTAAGAAGGTGGGAAATTGAAAAGTTTTTTTTTTATGCTTCTTCCTATAAAAGGCGATGATCTCCTCCTCTACTGCGGAAGCTCCCTCCCTGATTGTTCAGAAACAGACTCCTTTTTACGGCAGGTGTAATAAAGCTTACATGTACATTACTACAATACGAGTGTAATCGTATTAATGAATATAAAACAAATATACGATGTAAATGTACCGATAGCGTAGATCTGTTTTCATTTGACGACACTGCTACTGAGAGAGAAAGAGTGTGCATCCGTGTGTGTCTGAGTAATGTTGACATCAAAGCTGTGAGTGTATGTGTGTGTGTGTGTGTGTGTATTTGAGGGGTTACTGTTTGATTGTTCAGTGTTTTGTATTTGTATCATTTGCATAACAAAAGACGCCTGGGTCTTGTTTCACTTTGTAACAATGTGAATGTGACCTCCTCCACTCTGAAGCACTGAGTATTATTATTACCCTGGCATATGTTTTTGCTTTTGTGGTCTGCTGGTATTATAATGTAAAACAAACACATCCACATGGAACAGTCTACTGTCGCAATGCTACAATTTACAAATCTATATGATGGTTAGTTTGCACCTTACAGCAGAGCTCACTGCTCAGGAGATGGAAGTGATAAAGAGGCAGTGCTGTGTCACAGTGCCACCTGGTGGTTGGAAGTATGGTTTAATGTCTAGAAAGTGTTCATTTGCTGCTTATACAAACCATGTTGACACACCACCAACAGGCCTGTAGATCAAACTAGACAACTTAATTTATTTAGCCATATTATCTCAACACCTCACAAATGAAAAGCAGCCATTTATTAGACTTCCAATCCGTTGATGTTGGTTAATTAAAGCCCCATTTGGCAAAATGGAGCTTATTTAAAAACAAAACAAAATGACCGAACCTTTGTAATATTCATGTGAAAAGAGATTTTTTTTTAGCTTTAACTTTTTAATCAAATTGGGGGAGAAAAAAAAAATCAAACAGAATAATCTGCCAACTATCAACTTTACTGTCATGTTAACATCAAGTAATGATTAGAACTTAATAAAACTGAGAGCTTAATGTGTCCAGAAGCTGAGTTTTAACTTGACCTTCTTGTTGAGCCACATGTTTAGTTGAGTCATCTTTGCTTTTGTGCAATCCAAATCATAATGTTTCTCTATATCTATTTTCTTTGGATTATTCTGGGATTATTCATAGATTAGGACAGTTGAATCTGTTCCTTAGCCTGTAATCGAAGCCTTATTCTACATGTTTGGTGTTTTTCCTGTGGCGGGATTGCAGCCCCACATGTAACACTGACATTAACATTTTAGGTAATTACTATACATGGATAAGGATATTCCTATAAATGATGCTACATTTATGAGGAACGTCTTAACGAGCAACGAATCCAGAGATTAATTTTTTGCAAAAATCAGACGTCCTGACCCATTATGCCTTCTCTGATTATACTTACCTTGGTAATTAAGTTTAAAAATCATGGAGCTATAGAGCTCTTTAAAAATCCAGTTTAAAATCATATTTAGTTTTAATTTCATAAGGTTTCTATGTTAGTTTAAATCCCCGCTCACATCAGCTGATGCTTAAGGCAGTGAGATAATCAGACCAAAATGGATTCAACTCATCAAATTATTACCTCCTGCTGTCGCAGTGTATACAGTTCCGCATTTAGAAATAAAATTGTCGTGTATTTAGTGGAAAAGCAACACACTTTGTCCCGTATTACTGTGACAGCAAAAAAAAGTCATTAAAAAGCTTATGGGGAATGAACAAGGGCACGTTTGATACAAAACTTACGGTAAAATTTTTTCGGGCCCTGACAACATAAAGGTAACAATCCAGAATACCCTGATCCCATTGGTCGAGCCAAGTGTTGCTCGTGGACAGATAACGGGAGACAACAGAGCAGTATGGTGAATGAACAGTCATGTTAATTTTGATGCTGCTTTTTGGGGCGGGGCACCTTTGCATAGCGAAGCTCCTCCTCCTCCAAAAAAAAAAAAGATGCAGAAATATAGGGAGGAATGGGAAGATAAGAATGGGCGATAATGAAAATATGAAGCTAATTCAATGCAGATTTGAGTCAAATTGTTAAAGAAATAATTTCACACACAAAGGGGGGCTAAAAAGAATCATCACGCCAGGAGGGTGATTTCTTTCTTAAAAACATCAAAAGGGTTTGTGCAAACACACATTAATGAATCTGTAAAACATCATTATTGTTTTAGAACATAACTAACAGGGAAAAACGATTTCTTTTGTAAGAGCAGTGGAGGTTGGAGGCGGCGCATCGATAAGAATCTTTCTGGTTGAAACAAACTCTGGAAAACAAGTTCCGCTTTCCCATTGAGAGAAGCAAACACTAAACATCAGCTACACCTGCTGGAATATTTTGCAATTAATGTTACTTTATTTTTAGATAAGAAGGTTATATCGAAAATACGAAAAAACGAGTGCTTCACACAGCCAGATGATTCCTGTTGAATAAATAATCAAACGATAAAAACTTAAACACTATTTAAAGGTTTTTAAAGTACTATTTATAGTAGAAATAATCCTTGGCCTTGAGCCTTTTTGAATTAGCCGTTAGCTTCAGCCACCAGAACCAACTACCAACAGGAGGCATCAAATTAGTGCTGCTTTAATCATTGCTGCCGGTTGTTCCCTTCATTGAATAGTTCTGCTAAAAAACATCTTTTTTATCATTAGTTTGGGTAAATGATTTTAATAAATTGATCTGGTGGAAAGTTTTCTGTCTTATTTGGGTCTACACAACAAAAAAAAAAAAAAAAAACACGCCTATATGGAGTGAGTTTTGTTTCATTATTATTCTAACCAGATAACACGCTTTGTAAATAGAAATGTGAAAAAAAATGCAGATAAGAAACAAAATTTTGAAAAACTTCTTAAAAGGTTTTGAGTGAAATTTTGCAGTTTTCTTAGATTAGATTTTTTTCTCAATTTGATTTCTTAAAATTTCTCATAAATATTTTTTTCAAATGTAACCACTTAAAACTCTTTTTTTCTCTTTAAAGTTTTATTCTAATATATATATATATATATATATATATATATATATATATATATATATATATATATATATATATATATATATATATATATATATATATATATATATATATATTTACATTGCATTTTCAAATAGTTTTTTACAGATCAAGCTTGCTCTTTATGCACAAAGAGCGGTAAAAATGTATTTGCTAACATCCATGCAGACCAATAGAAATGCATCCTCACCTCTCACTACAGAGGAAAGCCCGCCCCCAAAAAGTGAAGAGAATATGATCAGTAAAACACAAAATGTAAAGAATACAATTAATAAAACTCAATATGAAAAATAGAAAAAAAAAAACATTTAAAATAAAAATATGAAAAAAATTAATTTATAAAACTCAATCTGAATAAGATCACTAAATAAATTAAATATGAAAATGTAAAATATGTAAAAAAAAAATAGAAAATTTGAAAAAATTAATGTGAAAAATCAGAAACAAGAAGATTAATATTACTCTAAAAACCTATTATTTATATAAAAGATTTTTCAGAGTTTCATTTCTTGATATTTTTTTGTTACATAAATATAACAAATCTTTTCCTTTCTTTAGCAACAATGGTGGTACAAAAATGACTCCATACTGATAGGATTGAGATGAACCCAGCAACAATGGAGGTTTTATCATTATCCTCCACTCTGTCTTGACTCACCACACCATTGTCACAGACACGGATAATCATCCAATTTCACATTTGTCGGTTTGCTGTAAAACGCTCTGATTGGAACAGATTGGCTCACACAGTAGCTTCACAATGCTTCTGTCTCTGCTCTGCTGTGTTGATTACACCCTGCCCGTCCTAATTAGCACTGCTCTAGATCGCTGTATCTCCCATTCTCACGAGGCTTGCTGATCATACTGAGGTTTTCTTTCCTTTTTGATTCACATCTTTGTTTCATATTCATAATTCAAAATGTCAGGGGGGAAAAAAGTCCATTGTTTGTGTGCAAACCACAGGAATGGGTTTAAATGATTAGGTGGAGATGATAAAAATGCTGATTTAAATTCTACATGTGATGCAGTTCTTAATCCAGCTCTGAACAGACACATGGATATGAAAATAGATTTTTTTTTAATTCTTCCTAAAAACATAAAGGAAAAAAAAAGTGTGCTCTCTTGTTCGATATAACTATACTCTTCAACCTGTGACGTTTATGTAAAGATCTGTCCTTTTTACTTTTCTTTTTGCAAAATCTTGTTAGGCTCCTAGAAAGAAAGCATTGTAATTATTTTTGTTACATAGAATAAAACATAAATGTCGAGAGTGACGTGTATTTCTTCTGCAAGGCTGACCCCAAAAAGCATGAGTCACCATCTCAGTGATGATGCCACACTGCTGCAGTGATGTCACCCGTAACGCTGTTGTCATGGTTACTGCGCTAAACCCACGTGGCAAGATGAACAATATGGAAACTGATTGTTGTGTGTCAGTTGCTGCACATATTTATGCAGCAGACAGAGCAGTGGGATGTAATGAGTGGGAGGATTGTTTACTCTTATTAACCAGACAGTGACGGAGAAGTAATGATGCTCTTAACAGCACTGAGGATCTACTTCATAAATCACTTTTGTTTAATCTCAAAGGTGCTTCCATTGAATGATTTTGATAGTTTTAAATAACACCATCCCACCTTGACTACAGCTGGTTTCTTCATGGGACTCTCAACCCACAGTTTTTTTTTTTGTCTCTTTCCATTGCACATTCCCTAGCTCTCCATCACAGATCAATACAATCTATTGTGAGCCTCGCTGCACCAGGCTTTTTCAGCTTAGTGGAAAACCCAAACGCCACTAAAGCACACAAGCAGAATGGAGCAAAAGGGTGCAGCCTGCACAGCGGCCACAGGGTGGCACTGCATGCTCACTCCCACCCAACTCCCTGCAGGTTGAGAAAAGACCTGTTAAGGTCAGAGTTCCCTCATGGCAGTCTGATGTTCATATAAGAAGGTAAGATAACAGAGAAAAACAAAAACTGAACAAAGAACAAAACTAATCAGCTGCTGTCTGTAAAACAGTCTCCACTGCTGCTTAATAGCCTTCATTCATATAAAACCATAATTCAGATTTCAAGACAGAAGCATCATCTCCAGGTACCAACAATCAGATTCATGCAGTAACATAAACGGAAAACTGATTCTACTGTTAAATGAAACATACTTAAAGATCTAATGTTACGTCTTTTTATGGAAGAGTAGAAAATAAAATGCCGTGCAAAATCATTTAGTGATGAACTTTATTTTTATTAAGCTTTTGTTTGAGAGACAAGCTTACTCTAGCCTAACAAAGCCTTGTTTTTGTTTTGAAAACATGCAAATTGAAACAGACTAAGGGGTCCACCCCTTTGGGATGGGGATGGTTTGGCTTCTTTTGTTAGCCTGCAATGCCCCATACTCGTCTAAGAGTCTTACAGGTTGGTCGTTAAAGGGGATTGTTGGCCTGGCTGAAAAGACAAGGTCCTCCACTCTTCTTTAAAGGGGCTCGGGCTGCGATGATAACAGGAATGGATTAACTCAATTGCTGCATTGCAGGTTTTTAAAAGCTGGAACCTGAGTCCACCCCCTCTGTTTAAGGTTGATTTTTCTTTCTTAACATAGATGTTTAAGGTATTTTACAAACAACTATGTGAAAAGTACAAAACACACCTGGAGCTGTGATTCTGCTGTAATGACACCTTCACCATTTTGGGGGTTTCTACCAGCCTGTTAGTCTTTGCAAAATAGCTCCAGCTCTCTCAGGCTGAATGCAGAGTTTCTGTAAAAACTTAATATTAAAGACAACTTTACACATCTCTATGCCAGTAGCTAATTTGGTTGCATGAATGCTTTTAAAACATTGTTATTACCATTGAGTATGCTACCTATGACAATTTGAAAAAAAATGTAAAAACTCAATATATACTAAAGAACCTGAAGATGATGAATAATGCGGCACTACAAATGAAAAGAAACTTGACTAAAAATATTCTTCAAGCTCATTTTCCAAAGCTTTTTCTCAAGTCCACAAATTGCATTATCTCTTTTCTGTCTTTCTTTACCAAGGTGGATCCTGTACCCACTCCTGCCTGAGGCTGCAGATGTCAGTAGTTCTTCTGTAAGACAATTTGAGAACCCCTAAACCAGCTTGGACACTCATTGTACCAAGCGTAATTCTTTTATTGCTGCTTTTTTACAATTCGAATCCTTCTCCATGTTTACCATCAACAGGTTGCATCGATGCCCTAAATAAGAGGTCTTCAACAGGTCGTCCGTAACCCCTAGGGGTCCACGGAGGTACCGCATTGGTTGGTCACGAAAGTTTTGGTTGATTAGACTTTTTTTTTTTTTATATTCCCCCCTGCAATTTGTTTCCACTAATTGAAATGTCTTTAAACACACATTGAAATGAGTTCAACACACTGTAGTAAACAGATAAACGGAGGCAGAAGATGTCTTTCAGTCATCAATGCCAGTGGCGGTTCTAGACAAAATGTACGAGGGGGCTAGGAGGGGGCCAGAGTGTTTTCATGGGGGAACAGAAATAAAAAACAGGTCAAGGGATTCAAATATATTAAGAGAGCTGCATGAAGTGAAATTTCTATTCAATTAGGTTTAATTAAAATTCTTTCTTATTAGGTCAATATAAATTAAAATTTTAGGAATTTTACATATTTTTGATATATAGATGTGTGTGAAGGACCACTGGCTCTGGTGGCAAGTTTTTTGTTTTATTTGGCAAAATTTTTATTTGATTTGTGTTTATCTGACTGTGTCAATTATTACTCCCCCAATACATGAAAAAAGTAAGAATGTATTATTATCTAGAGACTATTAATAACAGGAGGTGAAATGCAGCTCCAGACGAGTGGTGTGTGGTGACGTCATCAGTACGCTTCTGTTCTAATTGACCCATATTTATGCTGTGTGCTCCGGTTTCCCCGAGTCCACACTTGTGTTCTTCTCAAGAACATACTTGGCGAGAAGACAACTCCGTATTGGCGTTTTTGTGAATTGAGAAATGGCATTAGTAGCATAGCCCTCCATTCCGATTAGCATCTCCTATCAACAGCCACACATACGCTAGCTTATTCAGTCAACCCGGTCGTCTTCTTTTATATGGTTCATCCTCATCTTCACTGCCTCTTCTTAGTTCTTCCTTTTCAACAACTTCAACATATTCAGGTTAAAATTGAAAAGGTTTGACATGAGTTATTGCTGTTTTGCCTGGAGAGGGCTACGTTAGCATACCCTAGCATTTGTCATTTACCCAAATTCTTTGCAGCATAAACAACATGGTTATGTCCGTGTGACAATGTTTTTGTGCATTTATAAAAGCTAAACAATTTATAGCATTTTACATCAAAAATGTATATTTTTCGAAAAAGTCTATTGCCACAAATAATCCTGGATCCCTTTAAAAACATGTTGCCACGATGTATTAGTTACCTTCACAATAGCATGAATAGGTATTTTATATTAAAGGGCACCATTCACAGTCCAGTGGGACAAAATTACAACGGTCAAAAGTCCAACATAATTTCTGTACATATTAAGACTGGAACAAGCTACAACTGATCTTACCCTTTATATAAAACAGATAAGAGATTGAAGTCACCAATTTAAAAAAGCCTCACCAAATTACTGAGAAAATGCCAAGTCAATTTTGTATTAAACATGAGTGCAACCCATTGAGACAAACCCACACATCTGTCGCAGTATTCAGCATGCATGGGTAAAGACACTAATGGCTTTTAGTACAACCTTTTTTGATGAAGAGTACATCCATTATCAGCTACCTTTAGGCTAATTTATTCCCAATCGCTGATTTATCCCCTCCCTTACTCTCTCTTGTTCTCAGCAAAAGTCACCCTGCATTCACGTTTTTCTCAGTTTTAACCAAGTTATGGTTATTTTTAATGGTTTGGATGAACATTTATGAATGTCACATTCATTGTGGCCTTTAAGTTATTTATTTTATTTTAGATTTTTGATAGACATTGTGAAGCATTACAACACCTAATGAACAGTCAATGGCTTAATTTTGAGTCTGTGGATTTTTTTTAACCCAAAACCACACAGGGTGAAAGATACAGATAAACCACACCTCTCTTAAAGTCACCAAATGTCTTTTGGCTCGTTTTACCTCTTTCCACGGTGGAAAATTATAATTTTTTGAGGATAGACCATGGATTTTTGCAAAGTGGAAGTTTGAAAGATTCCAGAAACCTTGTCCATCCATTTTCCATCACACTTTTCCAAGCACGGTTATGACAGGTGTCCAGCTGTCTACGGGCAAGAGGAGGTTTACACCCTGGACAGGTTACCAGTCTATCGCAGGGCAACACAGAGACAAACAACACACACTCACACCTAAGGGGAATTTAGACAAGACTTAACAGTTATGTTTTTGGACTGTGGGAGGAAGCTGGAGTACCCAGAGAGTGACAGATGCTCAGTGAGAACATGCAAACCTCAATGCAGAAAGACCCAGGCTGGGAATTGAAACCAGAACATTCTCGCCACTCAGCAGACACAGACCTTTTCCATCTTTTTTAAATTCTTGTGGAAAAATCTATCTGTGTTCAAGTTTAAACCAGGTGTTGATTTTAATGGGGGTGGCAGAATTTGGACGTAGCTCTCGTTCCCCATTATTCCAACACCTTGAGCAGAGAGGTTTCACCATTAGAGGAGCAGAACGTTGACTCATCCAGATATCCGTGTTATAATACAGGCCTCAGCAGATGGCCGCTCACACTGAGCCTGATTCTGCCTTTCCTGTTAAAAGGAAGTGTTTCCTCTCCACTGTCACTACAAGCATGCTTAGTGTGAGGGATTGCCTTCAATTCAATGAGTTGTTGCAACTAACTGGTTTTCCTTAAATAGAAAACTATGAATCAATTTGACTGGATGATGTGGTGAACTGTAAAGTGCCTTGAGATGACGTGTTGTGAATTGGCGCTATAGAAATAAACAGTTCAATTGAAAAACAGACCCTGGGGATTTGTTGGCTGAGCCTAAAAATCTTGTTAATGCAAACTATGAACAAGCCGTTGGACCGCTATGAAGATGCTCCCAGTGGAATTTGGTGTCTGAGAGAAGCAGTGTGGCTTCCACTTCATGGGAACCTGAGCGGTCACAGCTAAATAATTGTAACTTGCAATTGAAAAGCCGCTTCTAATACACAGACCATTAAGTTTATGTGAACCTATTAATGTTAAAATTATACTGTTTATTACTTTAGATAAGTTAAATAGAGTCAATAGATTTAAACATTCCAATTTTAAAGGCAAAGTTAGTAACCCTACTTGGTGAGCTTATGTAAAATTGACAGAAACTGCTCACATTCATGCATATTTATATGATCAAGGTAAAAACCTTCCTAAAGCCATACAGTCTGAAATAAAGAGAGAGTTGGATATACACTGAAAAATAAAACCCACAAGGTGTTCAAATAGTGAAAGTAAACAATTTATATTCCTCTCGATCATCCTCATGGCTATTTTTATATTGCGCATGAACTTCCCATGAGTCTCTTTGCTATACTGCACCATCAACACCAGGACAGTGGAGGCGGGCTCAGACTGAATAAGGAAGCAGGACTCCAATTGGTCAGTGGCAGGGGGAGCAAATCAAACTAGGGAGCTGAGAGAGAGTGATTGAATGGGACAGAGAGATACAAGATGGGAAGGGGTTGAAGTGAATGGGTTGGGGGGGGGACTGAGAGGGGGAGAGGGAGAAAAGAGAGGCAGAGAGGTGGCAGCAGATGGACCGTTGCACAGCCTGAAACACTTTAACCGAGGACAGGCAGAATGTGCGACTGCAGACGTGCATGCAGTCAAACAGTGATACAGGAGGGACAGAGGGAGAGACAATAACTGTGAAGCAGAGGGAGTCTTTTATGTCCTCTGGATTGGATGCTGAGAGCAGTAATCCTCTTTGGGAGGGAAAAAAACTGCATACTGGGTACAGAGCACAAGGTAGAAGAGTGAACTCTTTCTGTGTGATTTGAGGGCAGGTGCAAGCCGTATCATATATACAAGCACTCTTGATCCTAACAAAGGTGAAAGACAGAAGAGGGACAGTTTGTTTATTTAGTTGCACCTTCTTCCTGTTTGTCTTCTTTTTTATTTCATCTGAGAGGAACACAGTGTCCTTTTCCAAAATAGAGTTTGAGCTGCAACTCTGGAAGCACAGGCACAGGGACTCTCTATGGTGAAGATGAGTCTGGACCCCATACAGGTGATGAGTGGACAGGTTAAAGAGCTCAAAGTTTCCCCTTCATCCAACGGAGACACCAGAGGATCCTGGGAGGAGAAAGAGGTGTTTGACCCAAACCAGCTGGACCGAACTGCCAAACCAAAACCGGTAAGTGTCACAAACTATCACCATAAATCATACTGTATTTTAGTCTGACATCTATATGTTTAGAAAGTCAAACATGCCTCTGTGCTCCTCATCTGGCCTGACTCCCTCTCTGAGACAGACGTACTTGTCTCCCTCGTCCATCTTAAAGCGTAGCTGTTAAATGTCTCATTCCAGGAATCCATGGAGGTCAGGAACACTGTGTATCACTGAATCCACCGACTTTAGTGATGGCCTCATACTGTGTTACAAACTTGCTCCCATTGGAATTTCAGACGGGCACAGCAAAAGATTTACATTAACACATGACCTGTCATTCCAGCCTTACTGACTGAACCGGGGTTTCTAAACCTTAATCAGATAAAGTGATTTAAACCACTTTATGGTTTCAATCAGATTTCTAGACAAGATCATTAACCTACAGAATGTAATTAGTTTACTCTGGAAAAAGTATAACCATACTCAAATTAAAAACATTATGTTCAGATATAACATCTAAAATATTTGACTTCACAGAATCTGAATTTGATCACTTGTTATGACCTGATTATTTTATATTGACCCAACTTTAAATACCCTGTTACAAATCATTTTCTGAAATGTTCAGTTGATGAACTAAACTAATATATTTTGTTCTGGATGTAGCCTGGTTGAACGAGCGAGGGCTTTTGGCTAGCTAACTTTAGCGATTCATTGTCATAACGTTATCAGTAAATGCGTAAAACTTCTCAGACATCAGCTAGCTAATATCAACTAGTTAACTAGCCAGCTATTACATTGATTATATGCAACCGCTTTGCTACTTACGTTAATTATGGATGAAATCCACCCAGGATGTAGAGACAACGAAAATGGCGCTCTCTCATGGTCTGGGACTTGGACTTGCTTTGATTGCGTGCAAAGTGCAATTCACATGTGACTCAAACACGATAAACTACCTGCAGGTCATGAATAAATATATACATATTGAGAGAAATCAAGAACTTTGTTATAAGTCCGTTGTACATGTATTTATTTCAAGTTGAATCAAACTTGTCGTTTCAAAATCCGAAAAGAATGGGTTACACAAATCTATACTTTTATCTAGTTTACAGTGACAGTCATTAGTTTGAATGAACAGCTACATATTACACTATTTTGACCCAAAATAGTAAAAACACATATATGGGGTGCCGTTTGTAAAGTTAAGCAGTCAAAAATTAGGAACAATAATTATGGTCATTAAGCTTGTTTTAAGAGAAAAATAAGGGATACATTTTTTCCAATTAATTTTTTCACTGTTATTTACTCATTTATAAAAATCTTACTTTGTTAAATAAATATTTAATTCGGAGCTAAATATTTAATTTGCAAAATAAGTATTTAGTTTGTTGAAAAAATATTTAGCTCCAAACTAAATACTGTGCGATTTTTTCAATCGTTGCACGCAGCTACCACAGGGTTTCGTCGTACAGTGTGAGTTCACAGCTAACGATGCATGTTCAGCACGACGCTTTGATGCGATCTACCTGCTCACACTGTACGTCTAAAAAACCTGTGGGACTCATCTATCCAGAAGCCAAACAAGCAGAACAGGAATATAAAGCTCACTAGAGTGAAACGCGCTGCCTTGGTAATTTTTGCAATTTTTAGCTGAAAGCCCTAGAACTGGGGTCACCAACCTTTTTAAGGCTGAGGGCCACGTCAAGGGTACTGAGTCATAAGAAGGGCTACCAACACTGACCCATGCACAGCAAGGGTGTTCACCTAAACTTCATTATATATTATAAACATTTTTATTTCCTTTAAGTTCTAATTGTATTTTAGACATTGTCATTTTTAAAGGATCTATAAATTATTAAAAAAGGAGAGAAACAAAATAGAAGTAAATTTCAAACTTAGCCCACTGATGAATTTCTTCGAAGTCTAAGGGGCACCCCATGTGGTCCATGAGGGGCCTCTTGGTGCCCGCGGGCACCACGTTGGTGACCCCTGCCCTAGAAGAAAAGACGAAGACGCCATGTCTACTACGGTCTGTCAGTTTTACAGAAAGAACTCCATTTCACTCGCACTCCTGTCATGCTTCTATGTTTACATCTGAGAGGAAGAAGAACAAGAGAACAAGAATCCTTGTTTTCGCACTGGGTGATTCCATCTAATTTTCACCCGACCTCACAATTCCTGATCGGGAGGTGGCCGTGACAGGCTGATCACCCCTGGTTACCAGTGCTGCCAACTTTAGGGTGACCATATTTTCATTTGGGAAAACCAGGACACCTTGGAGCGGGGGGGGGGGGGATATTGAAAGAACAAATGTCTCATCATCGGGATTTGCTCCGTGATCAGAGGAAATGTTACTTGGCGCAGAACAGTTGTGAAAGTTCAGTTTAATATAATAATATAACTCTGTGAATAGTTCCGCCTGAAATGAATGAAAATAGCTGTTTTAATGGTTATTGAGTCAGATATGTGGCGGTAATGTTTGGTTTATCTAAAGGTTTTTATCTGTTACTGTGTAAATGGGTTTGGCTGTAATTTAAGGACAGATTCTAATAGATCTGCAGAGTGGGGACTGTAAATCTGATAGGATTTTAATTTTTTTATTGTTGTTTTGCACAATATGCTTAACTAAGTATTTTTTGTTGTTGAATATTAGAGATTTTGCAGATATATTTTGTAGATACATTGTTTAGATTTACTTATATATTTCTAACCCTTTTATAGAATAGAAAATTCCTTTATTGTCCCACAATGGGCAAATTTACAGCAGCAAAAAGATTATTGAAAATGGTCACACAAATGAGGACCTTAGAGAAATGTATAAGAATAACATAATAGGGAAGAGTTAAAATATAAAAAATAAAATTCTGTAAAGTGTTTTAACAATATAAAACTGGAGAATAAATAACCAATATGCAGCTATGGACATTTTTACAATAATGGATATTTGAAAATAGCAGCAACATCAGAGATGTGCAGAATGACAGCAGCAGGTTATTTAACTGACTAAGGTTTCTATCATTACATTTGATTTGATTTGTTCCTGCTCACGGTGGTTGGAATCTTTATTCCACTCTGGATTCTTGTGAGTGTAGTCTTTGTTCACTTTAACTTTTTAGAAAATAAATAAATAAACAAACAGTTTTGAAAACCTCGGTATCCTTTGCTTTGTGTGTCAACGTTCACGGTTGCTAAGCAACAGAGCATACGGCGGTAAAACCCGCCGAAGGGAGGACCTGTTCGAATTTACAGACAGAACTCTTCCGGCCTCCTTATTTTCAAGGACTTCGAAGGATCCAGTCTAGGTAGACCGCGTCCTTGGAGGATGGAGCCCAGGATTTCGAACAGAGCCTCTGATTAAGAGCAGGGCTGCCCGCACTGAAGCGGCTCAGGGATTACCTCACACGGAGCGTCGTGCGCAGTGAAATCAGGACGTTTCCTCACTTTCTAAAAAAAACCCGGGACGCCCGGGACATATCCGTATTTCACGTCCTGTCCCGGGAAATACGGACGTTTGGTCACCCTTGTCAGTAAGGAAAGTAGCTATTGGCTTAGCTATAAGTTGCTAGAAGCCGCTAATTGACGTCATTGCCTAATTTTCATAATCTGCCACATGATGTGATGTGCATGTTATTGGCGCTGTGGGAGAAATAACGTCGTTAGAGAGAGACAAAGTGGGTAAAAACACTCAGAATATATAGAGCTACTTTTTCTGTCCATTAATATTTGTTTACTTATTTATTTAGTTACATTTTTTCTTTCAACTTTAATTTTTACTTTTTTTTCCCCCTTGTGGTCTACTAAGGAGCTTAAAAGCATGGTAAAACATGAAAAACTTGAACCATAAAATTGTTTACATTACATTAACAATCTAAATGGAAAAACACACATCGGCTGTATTTGTACACAAACACCTCACGACGGCCAACTGCATTTCAAACATGTTTGACGGTACGATTCCTGATCTGGAGGTGGTCATGAGAGGCTGATCGCCCCTCGTTACCTCTTGTACACTACATGATGCACGATCAGGCTGAAAGTCGGCCCATTCGAATAAATTCTTGCACGACTGTAAAATGGGCCTGAAAAGGGCAAAAAAAAAATCATTACCATACGCCCGGCTTAAATGGCAAACTTTATAGTAATCACCCAGTTTTCTCATGGGCAGTGATAAACGAGTGTTTTAACTTCGTCTAAATTCAGTTAGCTTTCAGGGAAGTTTTCTACAAGTTAGCCTGAGTCTGAAACAAACCTTTACAGTTAAGGTTTGAGATCTTTTTTCGGCTTTGAAAGACATCAGTTTAGTATAAACATGATGTACTGTAACACTTTGGAAGACCTGGGAAGTTAACATCTCATTTAATATCATATGATTCGTATAATATCAGTTAGTTTCCATTTGGGATTAATAAAGTGCCTTAAATTGAATTTCTCAGTGGCTTTGAAAAGGATCTATTGCAACTTCTTTTGTAGTTTTTTTTAAATATGAAGCAGATCATACAGAGAAGCAAAAAAGTGAGTGTAGATGACAAACTTCTAAATCTTATGATGCTAAAAGTAGCTAAACACTTTGTAATCTCTGCTCAGTGTCTAGTGGTGTATTTTTCATCTTCAGATTTGAAAAAAAATCTGATCTTTGGGCTTTAAATATCACCCAAACTATTATTGTATTACATCACTCTCAAATGCTCAGCAGCTCAGATATACTGTATTTTTGCCCTTTAATGGCGTTGTATGTGTTAGCATCAGACAGGGGAAATAGTCTAAGAAATTATCCACAAAGGAAGAAAAATATCACAGTTACACAGAGGTAAGATAGTTATTACTGGTTTATAAATAACAACATCTAACAGACATTCTTGTCAAAACACTTTAGGTTTTAACTGAATTGAAAAGTTTCCTTTCAGGTTCATTTATAGTTAGGTGTCTTTTATAGATACTTATAGACCACTATGAAAAATGTATGTCATCAAATAAGCTATTTCTGTAAATATGCTGGTATATTTAGAGATGATAACCAAACT